CTCTGGCAGAAGAACGCTCCGATTACCATGACAATACCTGTGAGATCACAGGGGTTAAAAGCGTAACACAGCCCGTATAAAAGAATCCCGAATGATGTTAGATAGTGCAGGTATCTTAAGTATTGCAACAGAATCTTCCGATGTCCCAGGACAAAACGAAATTATGTAAATGCTACCGCATAAAGCGGGAGGGATGGATTTGTATGAAATGGAGATTGGCTCACACAATAAGGGTTAAAAGATAGGATGTAAATTGGGATACATAAATAACGCGACCCTTGCGCATCAAAAGAAAATAGTGCCTAACAAAGGTCAAGGACGCGATGGGATCTCGAACCCCTTCGAATAAGGTGATACTATTTATGTCGATCCAAAGCAAAAGAAATTCAAACAAGAGAAGTTTATAATTGATGACCAAGCCACTTCAAACTTACTCTACCAGCACCGGCGAGAGATGATAAGCGATAAATCTTTGATGGACAAAATTAAGGCGGGTAGTTATATATTAGGCTAGTTTAGGTAGGGCGATCTCAACTGGGAATTGAATTAAATGCGTAAAACGAAGTTTTGACGGATGTCACTGTTTGAAGAGATGCTGTGAACTGAATCGATGTGTTAATTGACATCTCATGTATACTGGTTTAAATGGATTTGTTGAAAATGAAAGAAAATGTTTTTAATTTGTCTGTTAAAAGGGAAGGAAGGGTTGAAGTCCTTGGCAAGGCGTTAAAATAGTCAATCGTAAAGGTTGTTATTAGTAGCCTGGTATTTTCGCAGCTTGTAATCTAGCTCCTCTTTAACACAGACACCTTCCGTAGCGGTTGTGGTCGTAGAGGTGGGAGGTCGCGCTACCGGGGGCTGCTAGACCAGAGGTGGGAGGCCGGTACGTGCCTGGGATCTTCATTTGTTCGAAAGCCTTGTTAGTTTGACAAAACGTTCATCTTAATTCTGTAATAAGTGTGTTATGTTATGTTTTTACTTATTTATTTATTTGATTAAAAATATATATAAAAGTGTTGTTGTTGTTGTTGTTTTGTTATATTTATTTATACAATGATACTTTTCAGGCAGTGTTTCAGGCAGTTAAGTTGAATCATATAAAAAAAATACTCAAAAAATATTTTAAACATAATGTTATTTTTTCTTGTACTTGTTTCTGGTATGTGCATGTAGAATTATCTTGTTTTTTCAAAATATAAAAAAATAAATCCTTTTATTTAATATTCATTTATTTATTTAATACTAATTTATTTATTTTGTTGAGATAATCAAGTTTCAAAGAGATGAGCTGGATCATACCACATTGTTCAAAAATGAAAGGAATAATATTCTACCTGCGTGAAATGTTTTTGGCAAGTTTAAGAATATTTTCGTTGCTTTTCGACATCACTCTAACCAGACCATATGGCGTTTTATTAACTTTTATCATTACGTGGAGTTTAAAGATAAAATTTCTTAATTTGCGTTATTAATCCAAAAGAGATACTATTGGTTTCACCTTGAATCGTATACAATACATGTTTGATTGTAGTAATGTCAGAATAAACTTAATACCTTTTCAATATATTTTTTCTATTGCAACTTCACTTTTAATATTCTTATTGTTCAATATATATTATTATTTTAATAATAATAATAATAATTCGAGGTTCTTATATACTGCTTTATCACAACCTAGTTCGTAGGTCGTCTCAAAGCGGTTCACACATTATTATCCATGGTTATAGGGTCTTTGCAACCAGACAATATCTGTCTCAACTCCCTGGGGAGCATACAGCCGGTGCTTCCATTTCGGCGCTCACAGCTCACATTCAACAATTCTAGCACTGCCCAACCACGTACTCATTTACTGCTGAGTAGACTGGAACAAGCAGAGTAAAGTATCCTGCTCAAAGATACAACACAGCCCAGCGTCCTGCCACTAGTCTACCGTTCTTCCTTCTGTTATACAAATATGAACTCTGCTAATGCATGTAATGGTATGTAAAAAAACACTTCAAAATACTTAAACAGGCTATACACACTTAGTAATGATTCTGTTTTTTGTTTTGCCCAAGGTTTAAACACAGTGTGACTGAGTTTTTTCTTTACTTTTTATCAGTTCAATATAACAACAAAAGGAAACCCAACTATCAACAAACTCGTACTTTGAACTCAAAATTGATACAATTAAGGGGAAAATACGAACAAAGGAAAGACTGACATGGAGACCCTTGAAAAAGTACACGGAGATTAAGACCATGCGTTCCGGAAGGGTAGGCGTTTTCGACTTCATCGGTGACGCCCGCCGTGTAAATCAAAATCGAATCCAATGAATGCAGGCCCTCAAAGTGAGAACTGGGGCAGTGAAAGCAAAATAACAAGGCACACTAATGAGCATGATAAAAAAATAACATCGACCTTCATATCACACAACAAAAAAACATGTTTCCTGCGAGATCCTGATGGAGAACGTAAAACGTCTCCTTAGTATTCATGCAGCTTTGGAAACACTGTGTTTTAAGTTTTTTCCCTGTATATATCATGGGGATCATGATATTCGGAACAAGCTGTTGAATATAGAATCAACTTGAGTTTAAATAAAATGTATTGCATAAATACAACACAAAAAGATTGGACGCAAGTTATCACAACTTATCAATGTCCTCTCCGTAATACAAGTATACATATGCAAAACTTAGCAATGGCCCAATAATAATTAGCACATAATGTATTTCACATAGTATAAGAAAAGCAGAAAAACATAGGACAGTAGAAAAAAAGTCAGAGATCAGGAAAAAAAGATACTGCTAGATGAATTGAGTATTGTATACAACAGCTAGGTATAGATGACACTATATATTGACCTGTATTTACGCAAGCCGTTTACTATCAACAATAAATTGTTGAACATGCTTACAAATATCTTCGTTTGATTTTACATCTAACAAAATATCACCAAACAACAGGCTTTCTAATGTAATATTGGTATACCATATTTAATGTTGAAACATTGTATTTCTTTGTACATTATACATTGGAGACAGGTCAGACACTTTCTGAGGAAGAAGAGACACAAGATAGTTTGGTGAATATCCTGACCGAATCTTATAAAAACGACTGAGTTTTCTGAACAATCTACGTTCTATTTTTTGAGAAACTTAGGAACAATAATGATTAAATAAATAAAATACATTATAAATAATAGCGTTCTGTGTATAAAAAATACAATTCAGTATGGCTAGACGAAGATTCGAACTCTGGACCTCAGATTGTTGTACATTTCTACTGTCTCTCCAACCAACAGAGCTATACCTGGTCAATGGTAGTGCTTTTGCCCATTTGCGCTACAGTTTATCCAAAATGAAATTTAGTAAAATTACTTTGTAGACGAAAGTGGGACAGGGGTCCTCAAAATGAGGTTTGGTTTCGAACGTCTGTTGTAAAAGAGGCTCTCCTCGCGAGCATTATTGCGGTACTCGTACCTGGTATGTTTAAATTTGGTAATCCTTTTAGAAAAGAACAATACGAAAGTGAGACACTTAAAAAAAATATCAGGACTAAGAGTTCGTTGGTGACCAAACTGTGTAACCGAATGCTTCGATATTGAGTATATATCAAAATATACTTGCATTGACGCAAACTGATATGAGACATCGAGATACGTGTCAGGACCGCGAACTTCATGATAGTTTTTCAGTCTCTTCAGCATCTATCTCATCTATATAACAGCGTGACTGATTGGATTATATTGATCACATGACAGGGAATTAAAAGATTGTGTACCCCTCACGTGCTCGAGCTTCTTCGGTCACATTTTCCTCATTCGGAGCCTGTCTCGGGATTTTTTTTAGAGTTCTGTGTGACTGAAGCAGACGACGACCATGGCGCAAAACTCTAGATAAAATATGAACGTTATGGGAGGAAAGGGTTCCCAAACTCGTGATAATTAGTTCGTTAGTTTCCAAATTATAAAAGACGTTGGGTGAACCATATGTCTAGATACAATTTGAAAATTATGGGTAAACTAACTCAAATTAGATTTAAACATCATAACCAACCAGAGCTCGTTTGAGAACCTCTATATAAGTCTTTTGAGACGCATGATTGAAATTCAAAAAGTCCTTTTCATCATTTAAATAAAAACTTTTTCGTGAGGCACATTATTATACTCGTACAAAGACGTAGGTTTTACGTCGTCTCGTGACTCTTTAAAGTATTAAAGCTTGTGCAAGATTCTAAACGGAACATTTGATCAATTCTATATATCATGTATGCTATATAAAACTCTAAACTCACCACTGCTTTTTGTCTTGTCTCGTCCATGCTACGAAATGATGATAACACTATGATCAGTAAATGTATGCAAACCAAATTAGGACAGATGTAAAATACAAAGAGGTTGGGGTCTGATTTTACCGTGAATAGACCATTGCAATGTATAGATCGAGAAACCCATGGCAATAACTTGCCGAACAGATTAAGCCTACTCTAACTGTTGTGTATTATCGACAAATTACATTGGAGCAACCGACCATTTTCCTCATTAATCAAATTAATTCATCGTCTAAAGAGTCTAATAAGTTAGAATGCCGGTAATTTGCTAAATCCTTGTTTTGTCTTGTTTTCGTATATATAAACATATATATGAAGTGTCTGAAAACTTTGATAGCTTTGTTATTTGTTTTAAGGAGAAAATATCTATAACTTGAGTAATGCCCGTTATGACAGTGAGATTTTAGTGGTGCAGGGGGAGTAACTCGTATTCAATAGGCACAGTAATAACAAGGTCATAAATTAATGGTGTGTTTGTAATGTAAATGGTGAATAATGAATTGCATGCAAGCCAAAAAGTGTCCCTGCTTGTCATATATATTCATAACGTGCAATACATATGGAAATCCAACGTTATAAGTTCTCGAATTACACTTGTGGTGAGTTATTGGTGTTATGACGCCATTTTTATCACGATTACCTCCCTTCTGTATCTATTTATCAACCAATGAGCATTCCCTAAAAACGTAGCGTCGAAACTCTCTTGACTTCCGGGAAGCAACAAAAGCGGTGTGATTTTGCCAAATCAACAAATATCTGGCTATCTCTCAGGTATTGTATATAATTGTTATGCTTTACCGATGTATATGCAAAGTGGAAGGTATTTTTCTTTCATATGGTTTCAGAAAGGAAAACCAAATCGTCAGCAGCTACCGTGATTTACTCATCCCCCCGGCTGAGTGAACGGGGGGGAGGCAGCCTTCCAAAGCTACGTTTAATTGGTAGCCTTACAGTAGACCGTAGTCAGGGTTTCTTTACATAAACTTAATGCAAATGCTTGTTCGTGTTTTGACCAATATCAATATGAATGTATGTAATCGTCAATATTGACGGAGGAAGATGAAGATGAAAAAAATGCTTTAACAAATTAAACGAGAAAGCTACACCTGTGCACTATTCGTGTGTTCGTTCAGATTTTGGAACGAGGGACAGTCCCTCCTAAATCCTCTGAGAGACTTTTTCAGTTTACACGAACGAAGGGACTGTAAGGAATGAAAACGTGTTTTCTGATATGTAACCACTGTCACCAAATACTGAAATACTCGAATAGAGCTAGGCCTGTATTCCGAAACAGAGGTGCTTGACACACTAATTTGATGTATACTATTGTAATAATAAAATAACGAGAGAAAGAGAAAACGTAACCGCCAGACCGGGGTATGAACCCGGGATCCTCCTTACTCTAGACGGACACTCTTCCAATTGAGCTACCTAGCTGGTCGCTGACAATTGACCCAGTCAAGTTCCGCTACATTTCTCCCTCCTTTTTCTAAGTTTTTGGCCGCAAAGACACAACTGTTTACAACCCAAGTTTGGGTATCCCCTTGCTAATCATACTCCCAATGCTTGAAACAAGGATTGGCAAGCTCACCATTTATTAACAGGAGAAAATGTAACTGCCCGAGTGGGGTTCGAACCTGGGACCCTCTGAACTCTAGACGGACACTCTACCAATGGAGGTACCTGGTCATCAACGATCGACCCAGTCCAGTTCCGCTGCACTTTATTAATTAATTTAAGTATAGACACACCATGTTAGCATGTCAAGCACCTGTGTTCCTAAGTAAACAGCTAAATTGCAACCCCCTGTTATTAGTTAGATTCAACTCCAATTAAACAAGAAATTCCGATATTAGACCTGCTATAATATATTGCTGGGGAATTTTACTAGACATTTTATGGAGTCATATGGTCACTACTGGTATGTCGTATGTCGAAGATGTAAGATATATGCATATAAATGAAGTTTAGGGCTATCAGATTTTCTTGATTTAAAATCCCCAGTTCAGAAAACTGGAAAGTTCATTTGAATTCCTGTGTAATTGTATCTCCAACTGTCGACAGTATTAATTGTCATCCGTGTATATTTTCGGTTTTGGTAAGTTATGTTTTATTTTATTCCTTGATAAGTTATTAATTGCCCAGCCCAGGATACAGTGAAGTCATATTATACCTGATAATAATAATAAGGGACAATTACAAAATTTAATATAACAAAAAGAAATTGAATGGTAAAACTTTATTCACAATAGCAACTACACAGCAAAATGGTCAGAGATTATTATAAAAAAGTATTTCCAATATTTCAAATTTTATGGCATAGACTAATTTCACCCAGATATACTGTATTCTGTATTTAGAATTGTTTGACAAATTATTTTAAGAAACTGAAAAAAATAACATTTACAAAATGATATACCCACCAGAAGAAAAAAAAAATATTTTACTATTTAAAATTTAGATTTTCTCATACATTTTCACTTTATTTTATGTTTATTTGTAAAATTCTGACTATCACATGTAAATAAATGAAGAAATACATGTATAAACTTTTTATCCAATCAGGCAATGTTCCAACTTACCTACATGTGTAGATCCGGGGCCTGTATATCTAGAAATCACTGTAAATCTTTGTGAATCATTAACTTCATAGACCAAGTTGTCTATCAAGTTATTTCCTATGATGTAATACAGTACCATACACTTGTCATTAAACCATACAGTATGATTTAGTGACCAGTGTCATATTGATTGAAAAAAAGTTCTTTCTTTATTATTACACTGATATTGTATTTTCTTCAATTATATCAAGCACTATATAAATATGTAAGTGAAAAGTTTGGTCAAGTTCAATTCTAGTCTATAAACATCTGTTGGTCTGTAAGAAATCTATCTTATAAATGGACCTATGGTCTATTGTGTGAAAATTCCAAATTCTAAGACTGTTCGTCCAAACGTGATCAAAAGGAAATGGATCGAGTCCACTACCAATGAAATTGATGGGTTGTTATAGAATTAACAAACTAGACATTACAAACCTTATGAAGCAAGTCAATAACAAGTTTTTCTGTTACTTCTTTTTACAGATTGACCATTTTGTGAGATATTTCCTGTTGGCGAGACATGGACTTGTAATACCTCCTGCATCAAGGTTCAAAGTCAAGAGGAGGAAATTGTCGCATCATGTATGAACAGCCAGTGGAGGTTTTAACTAGCGGGACAAGTATTCTACAGGACGGCCCCGAAACGAATACGACAACTGTGCCAGAGTTGTTCCAGGACCCGATTCCGAAGCATCTGCTGGCCGAGTCTCCGCCAAGCCGCCTTCCTAAAACTGTAACAATGCAACTTAGCACCTCCACTTCAACCACAATCCATCAAGACTTGAAGTTACCACATCAACTGCTGGTAACTCGCCATGGCCTCGTCAGTCCATCGTCTTCTCCGGAGAAACTTTCTGTCAAGGTAGAACAGTCCAATTTGGTGCACATGATGGATACTTTTCCATACAGCGATGATGCTGATAAAGCCCTGATGAAAATAGTAAGTACTGACAATAAAATTCCAGATAATAAGAGGATAGATGTTTCTGGTGGCAGCACTCAAAACAACGAGTCAAATGATTTTGATGCCGATATTAACACTATTGTAATTACCAATGACGAAACTGGAGAAATTAAAATGACATTTTCCGATAATGCTGTTGGACAATATGAAGAAATTGAGGAGAAATCTGATCAAAAAGAATCGGAGCAGAGCATTGGTGAAGAGGTTGGAATGTGTCCTTTCACAACATTACTTGAAAAAGAGGACAAAGTCAACGGTTTATCCCCTACAAGGAAAAGTGACCGTTCCATTAAACTCAATTCAGCTTTTGGCGAAGAGGATGGAAGAAAAATCCCTGGTTTTGGGAGAGTTCTTGCCGCACACATGATGAAAGAGGCCGGTTCACAATCTACAAAAACTGGAGGCAAAAAAACAAAAGTGAAGAGAAGCAGAAAGCAAGTGGATCCCAAGAAAACCAAACTCAGTGTGGACGATGTGTATGAGAGTGAAGAGGGTGAGGGTGTGGAAAGTGACGGGGACTTGTCGAAAGATTTACTCAAAGTGCGTATGTTGAAATGTGACTCATGTGGCAAGCACTTCCTCGACAAACAAAAGTTACAGACACACAAGAAGACGCATAATAAAAGAAAAAACTCCCAATCAGTGTCTGCAACATCAAGTCATAACAACGGTTCAAAGAAAGTCTATCCCTGTGAGGTGTGTGGGTACACGTTTCGCCGTCGCGAGCACTGGCGACGGCACAGACTCACTCACCTAGACACCACACCTTATAAGTGTCCTGTTTGTGATCGAGGTTTCAAACGAGCGGAGCATGTTCGGCGCCACCAGACTGTTCACACACGTATCAAGGCATTTGATTGTAATTCATGTGACAAAAAGTTCACTCGCTCTGAACACCTTAAAAAGCACATGTTGCTCCATCTTGGGAAAACACCATTTGCAAGAAAAAAGAAATCTGTAGCCGATAGTTGAAAGACTTACTGTATATATGTGACCAGTAAATATATAAAGTTATCATATTCATGGATCATGATCACAGACCCGATCATAATCATTGTGTGTAGTACGTATGAACATTTGTGTATGAAATTAAATGATGTGTATGTCTATATATATATACATATATCATGCACATTATCATCATTAATAATGAATTTGTTTCAGTTATATATATGCATGTATTATTACTTGTGTGCGCTTCTAATTTACAAGTAAATGTACATACCTGGTATTATTGATCATAAGGCCGTATCTCCCCTTATTTTTGACAGAACTTATATTAATTACAGACAATTTGACTGTTTCGTAATAAAACCAAATTGCCATTTACAGTGATCCCATGCTAGAGAAAAACTGGTGTATAAACCAAATATGCGTTGTGCGAAATTTGTGTGTGGCCTGTGAAATGAAGGTAACATAATTATAATGATATATGAATCACTGCACATTATACCCATTCAGGTTCAGTTTTTAGCCGAATATGAAAATCAACATGGCTGTCGGAAGCCATCTTGGATTTATCATTTAGTGAAAGGTAACATGGGCCGTTTTCGTTTAAGCGGTCAAACCGGTCGGACCACTGTTGTTCGTTTATTAAATAGGGTCGGACCTAGTAATCTGATGCTGCTTTCAGGCGAGCCTTGAGAAAGCCTTGCAAGGCCTGCATTCACATTTGCAGGTCCGCCAGGGTTTATACCCGAAATTGTTACATTTATAAACGGTCAAACCGGTTGTTTCGCATAAACGAACAGGCCCATGGTTTCTGTGTGATAATGCTTGAAGGAATGCTTTCTTTTCCATGAAATTTCCTGCATTGCTACACACATGCAAATACTTTTCATTACCTGCTCAAGTTTAAGGTTGAAACAAATCTTGAAAGGTCCTCTATACTCAGTATTTAAGCGATATTAATAACATATTTCTCGATTCATTTCTTTAACATCTATTTGGGAATATGCCAATTTTTTATTTTCATTTTTATTGTGAAGAAGTAATGGACTCCTTACAGTTACTTTACTGGGAAAGTGATAATTATGAGTAGAGTATAAATGTTGACGAGGCACACATTAATTATTATGGTCAACACCATGAAAATATTTTTGAAACATGTTTTCATGTATATATGTACAGATTATGTATTTAACTCATCATTAATTTCTAGATCATGATGTACGTTGTTGGTTTCAGAGTATCATTATCCCCTTGCGACATAATACAGTACTTTTCACTTAATATCACATCATTTAATGTCACTTTCCAGTTAATATCATGTTTTCTAGATGTACTGTTTTTTCCTGCTATTTAATCTATGTCGTTCAGTTCAGTTCTGTTCTTAATTTGCTCAAGTTTGACAACTTATGGCAATTACAAACTTTGAGCAAATATATTTTATCATCAACTCTTGCTTTAATGTGGATTTTCCTTAATTTAAATTCACTTGATTTTGGCCACTGTCCCCAAAAAAATTACAAATGATGTTTTATTTGTATGTCCCTTGTATCTGGTCACACACCTTGACATATTGCGTAAACAACTTATCAGGGTCTTTCTCACACATGACTATAACTGCCAAACACATCAACCCCACTTACCAGTTGGTGTGACAGCCAGTCGCATGTCTAATGCATACTTGCCAAGTCTCCCCATTTAGGAGGGACACTCCTGATTTTGGACCCTAAATTTAAAACTGAGCATTTATTTATAACCAGTGGATTCGATCACTAAACTATTTCTATTTTCTAAGATCTGATGATTTCACCTGAAAGAACAGCTGAAACGATGCCATTTAAAAGGGTTATTTTTCCCTGAAGAATGGTCATGCACATACTTTGTTTATGCTTTTAATTTTGAGCACCTGTAATTATATATTAGCTCCCACGTGGAAATTTCAAAAAGTTGGCAAGTATGCTAATGTGTGTTACAACTAAATTACTTTATGTATCAAAACATATATATGCGTTTGTTTCTTCTTTTCCGTTCAAGTCTCAAGACAAACATACAGTATTGGGTAGATTCTGTTTTCTGTTTAATATCACTTATCATTTATTGGAGGGAAACATGATATTAACTGGAATGTGACATAAACAGAAAACAAGTTTTTTTCTTAGGTTTTTCAGCTGTCAAAACCAGGTAGTGACCACATGTAGATGTCCAAGTAATATAGTTTTAGAAAGAAGATTGTTTAATAAAGATATTTGTAACTGACATGAATTTTTTCTTTATTAACAGTGAAATGATCTTGTGTTAATTTTTTGTACACACTCTGCAGCTGGCAACCTTATTTATTATTGACCAGGATTTTTTTCTTATCAAACTTCATAAAATGGTCAAGTATGAGAATACTGTAAAAAGTTCATGTTTCAGTGTACTTCCTGCTAAAGGTCAAGGTCACCGTTTCTTTTTACACAGAATATATGTCATTACTTTTGCAACTTCATTTCTGAACAGATCTTGATGAAAAATCACATTGTAATCAACCATAAGAATGCACCATTATGATATGTATTGTAGACAATGCCATGTATCTTTTACCGTTTAGATTTGACTTGCGATCATCGCACTCTTAATTCATATTGTTGATTTCTTCTTTCCTTATGAATAAATTGTGCCAAGTAATTAAAGACAACGATTTTATGAGAAATGTTCTTAAGGGTTGAAGCTACATAAAAAAATAGTGTGTGGAGGGCATCCTTGATACTCCTGGGGTTATGTTCACATTAACTCTCTGCACCACTGGAATATGTCCAAGCAAAATTGAAGGCACACAGCTAGCTATTTGATTGGTCTCGGGTAAAAAATAAATGACCAATTGCTACGCTTATAAGATTACAGAGGAGCGACACTCGACTTCAAAGCCAGTCAATTTTACCCTGTGTGACCGGACGTCTTTTCGTCTCAAAAGCCAGGAGGTGAACACTAGCACCGAGCCTTCAATTTTGGTAGTGCTATCTAGGTAGATTTTTTTTTTTTAATTCTATTTCTTTTATGTTGGGACATATCCATTATAAGTACTTTATATTCATGGCATTGTGCACAATGATGCTTCAACTATTGATGTTGAATATACCGGTATATTAATAATATACATGCATTTTTTATTAAGACAATTTTGAATTATTGTTATTGTTTTTTATCAAATTTGTTGGCCTTAAACAGAGTAAGGACTTGATAAATAGTTGTCAATTTTTGAAAAAAACATAACAACATGCATAAATATATGATCATATATTCCTGACCAAACCAAACAAATCCTGATTGGATGGACGTTTGTAGGGGGGATAAACGTCCCATCAACAGCTAAGGTCATTGAAGGGCATTATATATTCTAAGGTAAGCTAAGGTCAGCTAAGGTCATTTAAGGACATTATATATTCTAAAGTCATTTAAGGGCATTATATATTCCTGAATACGAACATTACACCATTAATATTGGCATTAAGTTAAAGTAGGTTCCAATGCTGGCCATTACGTATACATGGTACTATAGTCCCATCATCGGGTGGATGGGCCTCCTTCGCTAGACGTTTCGGCGCTTATCCCCGACATCCTCCAGGGGGTGGTGTATACATTATAAGTAACAAACCAACGTCAACTTTTTACATAGCTAAATTTGGTTGAAAATGGCTGAAATTTCGTAATTTTCAAGAAAAGGATATCTGCTGACTAGTACTCGGCTGTTAGACATATACAGTCTTGAACTGCAATACGATACCAGTTTTTTTGCATATTGTTTTGTACAACTCTCAGATTTTCTTTGTATATCAAAAGTACACGTATATCATGTGACAAAAGCCCTGTCGAATCTGGAGAGAAAAGGTATCTGGTAAAAGAGGTATTATAGAAGAGCATCTGGTTTAGTCTTTTACATATTTTTGGAGGGGAAATGTATATTTTGGGAACATTTAATTTTTTTCAAAATGTGCAATTGCTGTTACTGTATAAGAAATCTGATTGATGTTTTCTTTAAATAATGTATACGTAACAACAATGAAATGTTTATTCAGACATTGAAGAGACAATGAAATGTTTGTTTTCTGTTTTGATTACACATTGTAATTATTTTTTAAATAGGTCATGCACATATTTGTGGACGATGTGCTATAATTACCAAAGCAGTATGTATGTACATGAATCTGTTGAAAATAAAAAATAATAATAATTGGACTAAATTGCTGGACTTTTGAACAAGAGGCCCAACAGGCCTGCATTGCTCTCCTGTTACTCATCTGAAATCAATGACCCTCAAAGAGGGACAAGGTCAAATTTATTTGAATAGAAAGTAATCGTTACTCAAGATCTACACAGTGTGGTCCTTTTGTTGAAGTCGTGATTACTTGGTGCTGTACACTTCATTGTACACTTCATCAATCTTCTTTGGATGACTTTAACATATTGTAACAATTTGTCTAAATCATTTCTTCAGATACCAAACATCATAGCTTCAGGCCAAATATAATCACCCTTGGCTATTCAGAAGAAGTTTTTGACATTTAACCCCTGTAACCATGGAAATAGGTCAAGTTCATTTTTATTCACAACGTTGTCCAACCCCCAGGAAATTACCTGTCTAATATCATGACTCTTTTCCTTCCAGTTCTTCAAAAAAAGTTATGACATATTTGACCCCTGTAACATTGAAAGTAGGTAAACGTCATTTTTATTTATATATTTTTTTGGGGCCTCCATCCCAGGATGCTACCAGCATTATATCATGATTTGGGCCTTTCGGTTCTTCAGAAAAAGTTGTTTAAAGTTTTTAGCTTTAATGAGCAGTAGCATACTGGGATGAAAGGCTACCAATTTTGTTTCAAGTGAATGACCTTGACCAATTTTCAAGGTCATTGGGGTCAAACATGTAAATAAGCAAAAGGCCGAGGGTAATACGATCTGGCAAGTAGCATGCTACCAAGCTTAAGTATGTTGAAATGAATGACCAACTTTCAAGGTCACAGAAATTTTGGACAGTTAAGTATTAATATAGACCAAGAAATTGAGTCACCAAAGAAGAGATTAAAGCGATAGTGGTTTACCATCGTAGATATCTATTTCTCTCATTTCTGTGTGTGTAAGATAGAGCTGTCCAGGGTAGGAAAGGGGTGCAAGAAATTTCTATCTTCAACACCACATTTCATGTGACGTGACATCACAATGGCGCAAAACAATGCAATGAAGTGACGTCACAAATTTGGAAATCTCCGATCTGGCAGTGCAGAAAATGTGACATGATGAAATGAAACCTTTTACAATATATTTACTTTATACGTTTGAAACATGTGATTATTTTTTTCTAAGCAGTTTGCAAATGTGGGGTATGCTAGATCTGGCTGACAGACTCATTTTCGTTTAAAAAGCTCATGGGGGGAAAAATTGATATTTTCAAAATGGTGGCCAGTCCAAACACATTTTCATGGTTTTTGAGCTTATTCTGGTTACGTAGTTGCCTTGGATAAAGAGAACAAGAGGCCCAAGAGGGCCTGTATCGCTCACCTGAATATTAAAGCAGTCATAGCAAAATATTCTCATTAAATATTATATTGCACTAAAAATATTTCCCTCACAAACTTTGTTGGCTCCATCTGTTGAAACTACCAGCAAAATATTTTTACAAGATTCTATGCTTTTTGATTCTTCAGAAGTTGCTTGACATATGTTTCCCTGTGACCTTGTAAGTAGGTCAATGTCATTTTCCTTCTCAAATTGGTAAGCTCTATTCCAAAAGCTACCAGCCAAATCTTATGAATCCATTCCTTTTAGTTCTTAAGAACAAATCCATTAAAATGTTGTTGACCTCTGTGACCTTGAAAGTAGGTCAAGGTCACTTTCATTCGCAAACTTTGTTGGGCTCTTTCCCAGGAAATAACCAGCCGAATATTAAGGTTCTATAACATCCAGTTCTTCAGAAGAAGTCATTTGAACTGTTTGACATATCTGCCTCATGTGACCTTAAAAGTAGGTAAAGGTCATTTTCATTCTCAAACTTTGTTGGGCTCTTTCCTAGGAAGCTACAAGCCAAATATAAAGATTCTATACCTTTCAGTTGTTCAGAAGAAGTCGTTTGAAGTGTC